TTTTTGTTATATTTTTTTATTTTTATTATGGATTTATTTTATGCTTCGGTGGGTCTATTGTTGGGTGCGGCGTTTCATGCTCGATTCATGTACTAAGTTGGTATGTTTAGGCTTGTGGGTGTCTATGCATAAACAAAACTATTTGTGACCATACTCAAAAGGACTGCCCTAACCCTTTACATGTGTGTATACAACCATAGTATATCAATACGTAGACTTGTATATACAATAATATGTGTGCAATAAATACATTAACTGCCTTGAAGGCCGAGTGGTCGCCAGTGCGACTCCCAGGCAAGGGGTATCGGTTTCGATTCCGGGTCGGGTAAAATATTACCGGGTTTTGTGAAAATTCTCAGTAGTAGCATGGAATCTGGAATTGTACCTGGTATATGGCAATAGGCTCACCCCCCTTTTAAATGGGACTCACAACATAAATAGTGGAAAATGAGTGTTACATTGTACATTAGCATTAAGTGCCATAACGTGCACCTATGCCTACTCCTTCGGGGATAAAAGGCGCGATGTTATGAATGTATATAAATATACACTATATGTATAATACACACATAAACTAACATTCTCACACCACTTGAAACTCTAAGCAAACAGTTGGAAATCAACATAACACATGAACTTACATTATCGTCTATATCTACTAATAACATAGTGTTATGTATGTGTTTACATAGTTTCGTAAGAGTCAGGGTTATATAAATAAATGAGAAGTGACCAGGCCTTTGAACTGGCCATCTGTGTGGTACAAGTTGTAAGGTTGGAGCGGTTTTATGATTATATTGTTTTTGTTTTTCAAGAGCCAGTTTTTGATCGCTATATAAATAGGGAGCAAAGTATGGTCACGTAGCTTTAAGACGTAGTAGTTTAACCTCTATGAGACAATAGAAAAGGCAATATGTGTCACGAATATTTACGCTCCCGGCATACCATGGGTTCAAATAGTAACAAATTTTTGTTTCATTTCCCTTTAATATTATTGATAGAATTTGGTGGGCAACAGTATAAAAAAGTAGGTCTTTTCTCAGGAAAACTTTGGCAGGAAACAGTGGTTTATATGTAAGATAATATTTTTACCTATGTATTTTATAATGTAATATCACCACGTTATTATATTTCATTATACCTATGCCTTCTATTAAACTATTTCATAGATAAATTCAATATCACTTAATGGTAAAACTACAACAGTAATTCACATACATACATATATAACTTCACGCCTGTCTCCCATTGTGGTAGGCAGAGACTATCGAACGCCAATTGCTAACGATTCCTACATACCTCTTTCGCTTCATCAACACTCATCAATCTTTTTATGCATGCCCGTCGGTTAAGGGTACTTTTAATAGATCATTCAGTAGACAAAATTTCTTTTAAAAACTATCTAATAGAATTGTCAAAAAACTACAAAGAAAAAAAACATATATACGATCGAATTGAGAACCTCCTCTTTTTTTTGAAGTCGATTAAAAATATTAATGATTTACTTTAAAAACTATTTAATAGAATTGTCAAAAAACTACAAAGAAAGAAAACAGCATATATACGGTCGAATTGAGAACCTCCTCCTTTTTTTGAAGTCGATTACAAATATTAATGATTTACTTTATCACATATCTCCCGCGACCTCTCCCCCCTTGGACCACACACAGCGTCCCGTTAATGAGACAGTGACCGATATGTAGGCGAAAGGTCGTATGTCTGCGTTACCCAGAGTCATTGCGATTATGATGACAACATGTTTTGCTAGCTTGTTGCCTTGTTGCTCAACTAGGACAGGATAAAACATGATTCTAGTACTAAAAGATATATTTTTGTTTGTCTAACTGGTAACTAGTTTCGCGTAAGGAAAGATAAATAACACTCCTTGGGTTTAATGATAAAAACATTTTTTTTTACTCGTCATGATCGAACTCTCTTGGTTTAGTTTAAGTTGTATTATGGTCAAATTTAAATTGTCGTTCCTTTCAAACTATCGTATTTTTTTTATTGCATAAGCCACCTGATGGTAAGTCATCAGCGTCGCCCATGGACACCTGGAACACCAGAGGCGTTACAAGTGCGTTACCGGCTTTTTGGGATTAGGAGTTTGAGGATCGTTGGGGATTCAGGAATTGGGAAAATTGGGGAAGGGGAGGGTAATTGGGCCTCCGGTAACCTCACTCACACGACGAAACACAACGCAAGCGTTGCTTCACTTCAGTTTTCTGTGAGGCCGTGGGGCCGTGGTATCACTCGCTATCCTACACTTATATGTATGATGTACATAGATCAAAAGGAATCTTAATAATGACGAGATACAAACACTTTACAGCAATTTGCGACTGATTTTTTTAAAGTTAAGAAGCAATTTGGTATTTGAATATTCATAAAACTTAGTAACAGTTTATTGCAGTAATCAATATTGCGAACAAATTTATTAATATTCATATCAGCGAATAGAATTTCATAACATACTAAATTAATTAGTCATCGATTTTTTGTATGTGGACTTGCAGACAATGGTGACGACGCGTTTATATCTTTTCTATGGGGTTAATAAGCGTAGCAAAATATAGCAAATTTGTACAAGTAATAATTAAAATGTATGTTACATGTATTGTAGTAAACTTATTCTTTATTACAATGAGTATTATAACATAAATAATGACAATCGTCATACGCTATTAGTAGCTGTTTCAGGTAAAATCAGTAAATTTAAAAGCGAACTTATCTGCTCATTCTAAGGTATAGATTCCTATGGAGAAGAACGAGCAAGAACCTCATAATATTTGACTCGTTCTCAATCAAATCAAACTTTTGTGTTCTATACATTGTCATTCTTAAAGAATCTTCATTCAATAATCAATTCCTTCTGAAATAGACTTAAGTAGTATTATAATAAATGCTATTTTATATAAATTATATATATTTACTGGCATTTTAGTTCTGATATTGACACTTAGCTTTGACAAAACTATAAATAAAATACTTAATAAATGAAAACTGCCTCGTCGGCCGAGTGGTTTGATTCCCGGGTCGGGCAAAGTATTACTGGGTTTTTTTTTAATATTCTCAGTAGTCACGTAGCACGGAGTCTGTAATTGTGTCCGGTATATGGCAATAGGCGCACCCCCTATTACATGGGACTCATAACATAAATAGTGAAAAGTGGGTGTTACATTGTACAGTGGTTTATTGTGCACCTCTGCCTACCCCTTTGGGGATAATAGGCGTCATACTATGTTATAAATAAAATAGTACTGGGTGGTCTAAGGCACTACAATGTAGTTTTATGATTTTTATTACCCGATTGCGATAGAAAAAGGGTACTGTTTTAGTAGTTTATTTAAGTATCCAGGTCATTAAAGGTTTTATGTATAAATAGGTCTTAAGTAGAATACCTTGTAGGCTTTCCATAATTTCATATAAATTTGATTATAACATAAAAATTTATTTTATAATAAAATATTCAGTGTTAAAGTTAGATAACTGTCACCTGTGCAGATGTTGAGCAAAGAGTCTCAGGTCGAATGACAAGGAAGAGCAAAGTATTATTGGGATGTATTCAGTTTTCAAAAACCCTTAGTAGTAGAATGGAGTTTAGAATAGTTTTGAAAACTTAAAACATGACTGTCAAAATGATATGATATACCCTACTCCTTCCAAAATTAATAGAATATCCTTTTAACTAAAAATCGCGGGTACTGACAGTAGACTGCATGACATCGCTGCCCCTCTGTGCCTCGAAACTAGTAGAGCTGTTCTCAATATATTCACGTGAGTAACCTGCGATTTTTAGTTAATTTAATATATCTCACTGACTGCCTCGTTGGCCGAGTGGTCGCAAGTGCGACTGCCGGGCAAGGGGTCTCGGGTTCGATTCCCGGGTTAGGCAAAGTAATACTGGGTTTGTAAAAACCTCAGTAGTAGCACGAAGTCTGGAAATGTGCTCGGTATATAGCAATAGGCTCAGGGACTAATAACATAAATAGTGAAAAGTGGGTGTTACATTGTACAGTGGCATCAAGTGCCGTAATGTGCACCTCTGCCTACCCCTTCGGGGAAAAAAAAGGCGTAATGTTATGATAACATAACATTACGCCTTTTTTATATATACATAAGTATATCTCACGATAGTAATTATAAAAAACATAACATCCTTTTGTTTTTCTTATCTGTACTTAAAGCTACAATTCCATACAAAATCCTTCACAAAGATTTCACTATCTACCTAAAACCTGTCTCAGAAGCCCTCACCGCAAGATTAGCAAACAAACTAAATAATGCATACAAACCAGGCCACACGGCGCACGAGTGGCCAATCAGTTGTTCAAGGCGTTTTTATATAATCAAGCTAATTAAGGCTTTAAAGCGATTTACATGAAATTATGTAGCCGCTGAATTATTTGAAATATTGTCGGTGCATCTGGTTGACCTATTGATGTAGTATTAAGATAAGAGTGTAGCTAGAATAGTAGAGGACTGTGGTGTTTTAGTTTTTTTGTTCCGAAAATCAAAGTTAACTAAAATTCGCTAGTTGCTCCCGTGAAAGTACTAAGCAAAGCTCAACTAGTTTTGAACAAGCTGCTCATGAGGAAGAACCCCTCTGTGGTTCGAAACTTTTTTGGTTAATTTTATATGTTCCACAATACATGTAACATCACGCCCATTATCCCCGAAGGGGTAGGCAGAGGTGCACATAAAGCACTTAGTACCACTGTTTCTGTATCTCACAATCTTATACTATTATATAAAGTGGAAGAGTTTGTTTTTTGTTTGTTTGTTTGAACGCGCTAATCTCCGTAACTACAAGTCTGATTTGAATAATTATTTTTTTGTTGGAAAGCACATGGATCGAGGATGGCTATAGGCTATAAAACATCACGCTACGACCAATAGTAGTTGAGCAGAGCGTGTGAAACCGCGCGGAAGTAGCTAGTAGTTGTTCTAAAAATCAAAGTTGTTTCCAAATTTATTTATTAATTTTTCCTTTGTTTCAGATTCAATACTGAGCTGTGAAAACGTTATTTACTTCGTGTCTTTTTATAAGGTAAATTATTGTTTAAATTATAATATTTTCGCGTATACATATAAACACAAACTCGACCAATAGGCCCTAAAGAAAAACGAACTTTCTTACCGAATACTTTCTTACCTCTACTGACATTCCGATCAAACTCCTAAGCACTCATAATCAGCATAGAAAATTGTAATATTTTCAATATACAATGCAATCATTATTTTACGTGTAAATGAACCAAGCTAGTCAGTAGCATACTGCATATGTTATATAAAAACAAAAGAAGAAAATAAATAGGTTTCCACTCTTGAAAGTGGCCAGCTTGCCACAGATAATAAAAACATATTATTATATAACAATAAAGTAACATCACGCCTTTTATCCCCGAAAGGGTAGGCAGAGATGCACATAACAGCACTTAATGCAACTGTACAATGTAACATCCACTTTTCACTATTTATGTTATGAGTCCCGTGTAATAGGAGGTGAGCCTATTGCCATATACCGGGCACATTTCCAGACTTCGTGCTACTACTGAGAATACTTTAAAACCCAGTAATACTTTGCCCGACCCGGGAATCGAAACCGAGACCCCTTGCCCGGCAGTCGCACTTTCGACCATTCGGCCAACTAGGCCGAAGATATGCATAAAATTCTACTGCCCTACACCTATATGTACAACTTTAAAACAAGCGTGATACACATTATCCCTATAACCCTACACGGAACGATATACCATCTGAAGTATGTAGCAATTAAAGATTAAAGCTGGTCTGAGGGCCAAGGAGGTCCATACCGCTACCATGAGTTTTGAACTGTAATATTCTTAACTCGAGGTTATTAGGTCGACTTGTAACGAACATGGTGATAAAATCTAAGAACCTAAATTGCACACACTTCTTAAATTAGACTTAAGGGCTTGTGGCATCGACTTCTAGACAATTTTTTTGTTTAAAAAACGATTTCACACACTAGCATTTTCTCCTGTGTCGTGGGTGCGTTTACAAACATAAAAGTTCACATATACATGACACCCAGACCCGGAACAACAATCTGTGGATCACACAAAGAGTTGCTCCGTGCGGTCAACAGGCTACACGTTGTACGGTGGCGAGTTGCCCAGGCACTGCGCCAACCATGCAGTCATCTTTCAGTGGGTGTTGTAGGTAGGTACTGAGTATAATGGGTAAATAATTATTTCTGGTTTTTTAAGTATTTTTATCTATACTAATATTATAAAGCTGAAGAGTTTGTTTTTTTGTTTGAACGCGCTAATCTCCGAAACTACTGGTCCAATTTAAAACATTCTTTCAGTGTTGGATAACCTATTATCGAGGAAGACTATAGGCTATAAAACATCATGCTACGATTAATAGGCGCCGAGTAGAGCGATTGAAACCGCGGAAGTTAACTAAGTAGTGTCGAATATTCCGTACACCAAGAAAAGCACCGGCGTGGTAAACTGCAAAGAGCAGCTTGTGTTCTCTATAACAGAATTTGAAATTATAAAACTAAAATTTGCATAAAAAAAATTATGTTGTCGCTATCGAGTATCAACAAATATACTTTTCTTGCTTCAGACTCGTGGTAGAGGGTACTGGTCTAGGATCCCGTTAAATGAGGGTCAAATTAACTTTGTATTAGTCTCGTCTCAATCAATTCCAAGTAGTGTTTTAGTGTGTGGTGTAAGTTAGGGGCGAATGTGTCTGTTTTTAGTTTTTGTGGAGCAAAATTGTTATAATGTGTCAAGTCAAATATCTTCTTTATATATATAATTCTTCTGTGAGTGTGTATGTCACTGAACTTCTCTCAAACGACTGGACCGATTTTGATGAAATTTTTTGTGTGTGTTCAAGGGGATCTGGGAATGATTTAGATTCACAAATCAGCCCGGCAGATGGCGCTGCAGTCGTGTTTAGGTTATTTATCCTAAATAGCTGAACTAATTTGAATGAATTTTAGTCTATACATTCAAGTGGATATGCAGGACAACGTCTGTCGGGTCCACTAATATATATATGACAGGTCAAAAAGCTTTATCAACTGCCTCAATGATCGGTTAGTTGCAATCATGACAGTCTAATTGAACCCTATACTTCTTGCTGAGATTCTATATACTGGTAGGCAAATAATTTGCTCGATAATATTAGGAAGTCTGGAATTGTTTTTAAACATAACTAATTGAAAAGTTAGCATTATATCTACTTTTTTTATACAGCATACTACAGAAAAGTTGGTGTATGTCAACTTTGTTTTACACAGTCAGTTTGTCAGTGGCAAAATAATACACGGCCCACCTGATGGTAAATTATTACCTTGGCCTATAAACGCTTGCAACACTTGGGGCATTACATGCGCCTTGCCATCTTAAAAAAACCTATTCTACTTCTCTGGGGAATGAAATGGTATGGTTAGTTACTGAGTGACCTCATCTTAACAGCCACCCACTTAACCAAAATCCATTTAACTAATCAAATTATGTATACCTTAAACTGTAATGGATCACAGTGTGGAGTCAGGGAAAACACACAGAAAAGATAGCATAAATAGTAGTATAAGATTTATTACGTACAACAGTGGTCTATTATTGCTTGCTTACTTACTTAGTTACTTTCTACTTACTGACTACAAACTTAGTCGTTTTCTCTTTTATACAATAAAAATCAATTAATACACCATGACACAAATGATACACATCCTTTCATGCCGTAACTACTAAATCGATTGCTTTGAATTTTTGCAGACGTAAAGTTAGAAGTCTGGATTAAATAATAGGGTACTTTTTATCCCGGAAAAATTTGATATTCCTGAGGGAAAACCAAAGAATTGGTATAGATGGCGCTGTATGTATTGGTATATGTCAAATAGGCTACTTTTTATCCTTTTGTGACGCGAGCGAAGCCGCGGGTAAAAGCTAGTTAAATATACATTAAAACATTACATAGATCATTATATAAACTTGTTATTTATATAGGCATTACAAAGTTTACTAATTTAGCAAAAACTAAACAAATTGGAAAAAGTCCGTTCACACCACAACCGGATCTAAAAATATCGATATTTTCTTCAAAACAGAGTTTAACTTCACAAAATGCAAATTAATAATATTATTTAATTGATCGTAATCTTTTCCTTGCTCCTTCGATCTTATAAAAACTATTGAATGAAAGAATCCATAAAATTTTAGGTTCACTTAGGCAATTCGATTCGGTATTTAGTACTAATTATATTGTAAAGTTAAAGGTATACCTACTTTTTTACTAAAACCGAAATTGTACAGAATTATCATTCATTGAACAGCGTATAAAAATAGTCTCTGATTTTATATATTACTAGCAGCCCGTCCCGGCTTCGCACGGGGTAGACAATTTTTTATTTTTGGAAATTTGGATTATTGTAGTGACATAACTACAATAGTTGGACATAATATGCTACCGGGGAGTTTTTTGTAGACATTATGATGTTCTTCAATATTGTTGTACATTATTTTGTTCTATCGCTAATAGTTTCGGCAGCGCATTCGACGAAAGACATTATAAGTCTCATTTTTCTACACCTTCGGTTACATTGTTCAAATTTTACCAAGTATCCCTAATTTTTTTTTGAAAATGAAATGTAGCCTATGTCAAATTGGCAGAATGTAGATTTCTATTGGTGAAAGAATTTCTTCAATCAGCCCAGTAGGTACTTTTTGAGCCTATTCATCACAAACATACAAAAATAGGTACAAATCTTTCCTCTTTATAATATTAGTATAGACTATTAATTTGGACTAATGTGCAATAAATATGACACAATATCCAAATTTTTTATAGAACCTATACTGTGAGTTAGATAATACTGCATGACATCAAGAGTCTTTTGTTTAATACAAAAGGCTTAATCTTCACGAAAAAAGCGTTGTTTCTGAAAAAAACCAGTAATGCACCTGTCAGTCCTCTGGTGTCGTAGGTGTGTCCATAGGTGGCGCTGATGGCTTACCGTCAAGTGATCCATCTTGCTCATTTGCTTCTGAATCAATTATAAAATCGTCTACCTCTTTTTCGAAACTCATTCGTTTTAATGTGGCAGAGTGTGATATGTTTTCGAGTAAAAGAAGATTATTTTTGTCGGAGTGCTTGAAGTTTTGCGAAAGAGATGAATGAACTAGTATCTAATAGATATATATTTTTAAATGTATTGTTTCTTTCAATTGTTTATGCATAGAGTAGTGTAATTGGTTTTTTGTACCGTTCTATTCATATAAATAAATAAATTAAACAATAAATAATCACAAAACGCTACCCGCTTACAACTTGCTCAGCGTTTTATCGTTTATCCAGGAAGAAATTAAACTAAGGCTAGCACTTTAGCCCATCTAGATCTGTGCATACAGCCTAGGTGTTAGTATGTTCAAGTAAAATAACTGGAAGACAAGTAAATAGGCTTCGTTAGTATTTTTATTAAGATTGAAACACCTTGTGTAATGGACATGTTATAAAAACGATTGGACTTCGTTTATGTTAGTTGGTTTTTTTATGATATTATAGATTAATTCTCTACGGACTCTATGTCCGTGCTCTTGTCATACAATTTTTTATTATAATACATCTAGTCAATTTTTATAAAGTAAAGAGGGAATCTAGTTATACACTACAATTAACTACATCTATAATTATTACCAAAAGTATAAATTACATAATAATTAGGCACTATTTATTTATTTCTATTTCGTAGGCTTTATGAAATCAGCCCATCAACAAGATGGGAGAGCCGACCTGACCCAGCAGAAGGCACCCGTTCACGAGTATGACGTGTGTGTCAGCAATTGGTTCGGTCAACCTTTTTATTGGGAACGGAACAACCCAACACACAGCGCCACCCACACACACAGTAGGACATTTATGTGTGCATGACGCCTCAACCCTTGCCACTGTGGCCGATTCCAATTATTTTTTTTTTCCTGACTTATGGATGTGATATTATGTTGGGTGGTTCTATTAGTCAAGTATAGGTTCTTGAGTGACTGAAATTGGTGTAGTACGTGTTAT